GGAGGAGGAGAGAGGGAGGAGGAGGAGGAGGAGGAGGAGGAGGAGGAGGAGGAGGAGGAGGAGGAGGAGGAGGAGTACGGCGAAGAGGAAGGAGTGGGGAGGAGGGAGCTGTTGCCAAGGCGCGACACCGCGGGGCCTCTCGAGCAGAGGACCGGGAGCAGGAAGCCCGTGATCAGCCACTTGGCTCAGGGCAGCGGCGGCCTGCCAGCCGGCGTCCGTCCGCGCCAGGGCCGCGCGCCGCGAGGGGCCCGCGATGTGGCCGAGCCCGGGGCGGCGGCGACGGCCACGGGGCGGCAGCGTGCTGGCCCTGTCGCTGGCGCCCGCGCTGCTCGGGTGGCGCGGCTGCGCTGGGGCAGCGGGCGCCCCCAGCAGGAGGGCTCCAACTGCAGCCACGGCCGACAGAGTCGACTCTTCAGCATCGTTTGACCTACACACTGTTCATTTCTAATTATTCGAACATTCCTTGATCTTGTGGGGACCAAGATCCTGTCGTTTCTAATTGTTCCATCCTGGGCTTCATTGTTCCAGGAACACTTAGAAACGAGCACAATTAGAAATGAGCACGATTAGAAAGGAACGACGTGTATCCCCATCCCAACCGTGCCGCTCTGTCTCGGCTCAACCATCCCACCACCCCAGTTGGGGGCCAGGCCCCTTGAAACCCGAAGGGAGCAGCCTGTATCCCCATCTGGTGGGGTGACTCGGCCAGTGGGGCCCGGGCCATGCCAGTGGGGATAGGGATCGGTGACAGGATACTCCACTCTGGTTTCGGAAGGGGCCCGATGTTCCATACAGTGGAAGCCCATGCCAAGCAACACCCTGATTACTTCCAGGGTGCCCTGGGTTTCTTGGGCTTCGATGCTTCTGCGATAGAGAGCGTGACGCTCCCACACCACAAATCAATGAACGTTCGGGGTCTCAGGGTTGGGTTTCTTGTGGAAGGTTTCTTGCGGTGATTGTTGTTTCATTCATTGTTTGCCGATCGGCGCGGGCCCTCGCACCCCCCCTCCCCCCCCCTGGAGTGGATCTTGGTTGTTTTGGGCGCCTGTTTCGAGCAGGTGGAGTCTCCCCCACAACGGACGCACTGCTGCAAACAGTCGCACTGAACAGAGGTCCAGAGCCAGACCCCCCCCCTCCCCCACCCCTCCTCCCACTGTCTCGGGATGGGAAAAACCACACAGACACAATTAATCGTCGACTCCCAGGAATCGATGGGAAAATATGGGAAGTGGGGGGAAGACGAACACCCAGAATATGTGGGAAGATATGGGGAATCCTGGGATATTTGTGCTTATCCATCTGTGTGTGTCTGTGGGCCCCTTGGAAGGTCGGAGCGCCGACCGCAAAACGCTCACGTGGCCGAGCTCCTGCTGGCTGGTCCCTCTCCGGGCTCTGCCCTGCCCCCCCCCCCCCCCCCTGCGCGCCCCGGGGGTGCAGCCGAAGGCCCCCCCCCCCTTGGGGGCGCTGCGCCCTGCTCCTCGTGCAGGGGGCCCATGTGGTGAGACCTGTGGGCTGCACGGGCTGGCCCCGGCAGACCACGGGTCAGCGGAGGAACGGGTTCGGGGGCCCCCAAACGGGTCGGGGGTGGACAGACCTTCTACCCTGACACGTCGATTAAGGAATTGGCCGTTTTCGGTTCGCGAGAGGGCGTCGCGGCCGTCATTTTTGCGGGTCCAGGTCCGTCGGTTTCAGTCCCAGGCCGTTTTCATTAAGTAAGGGGAGGTCTACTAAAGGGAGGATTGTCCACCGCCGAACCTGTTGGCTGCAGGCTGGCCCCGGCAGACCACGGGTCAGCGGAGGAACAGGTTCGGGGGCCCCCAAAACGGGGTGGTGACCACTGCCACAGAGCGTGGATTGCCCCTACCCCGCTTTCGCTTCCAGGCAGGACCGAGTCATGCCACGCGCCTCCTCGTGAAGCGGCCTGACTAGTACAGGCCGTAGTTTGGCGTCGCTTGGCATCTCTTGGAAGCGAGGGTGGTGCAGGGTGCCCATGTGGTGAGACCTGTTGGCTGCATCGGAAGCCGGGCAAGGGCTGCTAAATCCGTGGCTGCTAAAATCGACCTCCAGGAAGTTGTCTTCGTCCTTCCGGGAGGAAGCCCGTTGACTGTTTCGCGTGCCGCGCCTCATTCGCGGAAGTTGTTTTTTCCTTCCGGGAGGGCCGTTTTAGCAGCCACGGTTTTAGCAGGCTTCGCCCAGCTTCCCACTGCAGACTGACCCCGGCAGACTACGGGTCAGCGGAGGAACAGGTTCGGGGGCCCTCAGACGGGGTGGTGACCACACCACACCGTGTGGTGAGTCGGCAGGGATTCGGGGTCACCGCACGCTTTTGGGACTCGAGCCTCTCTCTCCAAGAATGCCTCGGGCGACAGGGGCTCCCAGGGTCCCAAAACCGTGCGGTGACGGACCGTGCGGTGAGATCTTGGGGGATTCCGAGGTCACCGCACGGTCTGTCACCGCACCGTTTCGGGACTTCAAAAAGGTACCCACACCTCTACCCTTCGCCTCTTTTCCCCTTTGTGGGCCGTCTGGGAGGCCCTCGTCGACACCGCTGGATTCGCCTCGAAGTCCTGGTCGGAACGCACCCCGGGAGAGGTCCGGGGAGTGGCGGTATCAGAGCACCCCCCCCCCCTCCCCCCTTCCTTCCGCCCAATATCGAAACGCCGAATAAAAAAATGCTCACACCGCCACACTCATCGGTCAACGCCATGGCCGACCAACTGACCGACCGACGACGACGTCTACGACTGACCGACGACGGACGACGACTGGCGCGTGCGCCCGCGCCACCGCTGGCGTGCCGCTGGCCACCGCCAGCGGCGCCCGTGCGATGGAAACCGAGTTCAGACTCCGGAAACGCAAGCGCGGTGGATGCGATACAGGCCTTGGGAAAAAATAGTGAACGTTCATGCCACATTCATCTGTCAACGCCGCCCCCTCCTCCAATGTTCAAAGTTGGCGCTGGGTCTGATGACTTGCTCGACCGCAGTCTCCTCCGCACGTGCCAACTTTGAATGTGGGGGAGAGGGGGAGTGTCCATTGACTGCTTCCGTCCACCGTATGTCTTCCCGATTCCTGTTTTTGATCGTGAGTCCTCTGGCTTGTGCACCTGGGCATGTCCCGAGCTCTCTCGGACGAATCTCGTGCTCTCATCACAGAGACGTGCACACGCACCCTGGCCAGGCCAGTCTTTTTTGCTCAGGATCGGTGCAGATGTCTTCCTGGCCGGGCTAGGAGGGCGTGCACATCGACCCCGGGCCCAAGATTGGCCTTGCCAGGATCGGTGCCTCCGGGCCTCTTGGAGGGGGTCCGAGTTGATGGGATCGATGGGGTCGCGCCGCATCGCCGATGCATCGGCGGCGCAGCTCGACGTGGGGCCCGATCCTCTCAATGCCGACGGTGCCGATGCATCACCGATGTCGCCGGTGCATCTCCGATACATCGGCGATGCATCGGTGATGCGGCGCTATCCTGAGACCCCAGATGCTCGGACTGAATTCGGAGGCCTTTAGTGTCGGCGTGTAGTTGGTGTCCTCTTACCCAGAGGGGTCGCTCCAGAGGCGCAGGCGAAGTACGCGCCTGGCTCCACGTTCGCATGCTCAAGCGGGGAGCAGGTCAGTTCATTTCGATCTGATCGACCCGATTCGATGTCGACTGCGGCCGGCCCGATCCGATTCGATTTCGATATTCCGACGATGCGATGCGGCCCGATGCTTGCATGGCTCCGTCGTGCATCCTGGCGCAGCCGATTCGATCCTGCTTGTGTGCCGATGCAGCCCGATCTGATGCGCACCTCGAATCCATCCGATTCGCCGAGCGGGCTGATTTCGAAGAAGGAAAACCGCCATAAACGTAAACTTTGGGCGCTCCGCGCGGATTTCTTGGATCCGCGCTGGGGCCCCCCGGCGCCCGCCATAAACGTAAACTTTGGGCGCTCCGCGCGGATTTCTTGGATCCGCGCTGGGGCCCCCCGGCGCCGCCTCCGGCGCCGCCCCTGGCACGCTCCGCGCGCCAGGGAGGGGGGTCCAGCGCAGATCCAAGAAATCCGCGCGGAGCGCCAACAGTTTATGTTATGCCGTTTTTTCTTCTTCTATGACTGATCTTGGCAGGTCAAGAATGTTCGCGGTTCGGTCGCTTCGGTTGTGTCGCAGTTGGTTGCGTCCAGTAGGTTCGGCTCGGTCGGTTCGGGTGTTGCTGCCGCGCCGCTTCGCCCTTCTGGGCTGCAAGCGGCACGGCCTGTCGAATTCGGTTGGTTTCCGGCTTCGTTGCCGTCGGTTCGATCGGTTCTCGACCTTGCTGTCGCCGTGAACGGCCTTGCAGGTGCCCTACGAGGCCGTCAACGACGACTACTGCGACTGTGCGGACGGCGGGGACGAGCCTGGGACCGGCGCCTGTGCAGGGCAGGACGCCACGCTGTTCCACTGCGAGAACAGTCGGGCGTTGCTAGAAGTGCCCCTGGCTCAAGGTTCCCCTACGATGTCCAAGGAGGCCCCCACGGCCTCCAGGGGCTCCAAAATGGATCGAAAAGCTGGGGGCACCTTGGGCCAGGGGCGCCTTGAGCAACCCCCGAAACAGGGGGAGCGTGCCGCAGCTGGTCTACAGCTCGCGGGTCGACGACGGCATCTGCGACTGCTGCGACGGTAGCGACGAGGCTGGGCCGTCTCAGCGGCGGGCCGGCGCCGCCGCGTGCCCCAATCGGTGCGAGGAGACGTCGGCGCTCCACCCCACTTCCTCCTCCCTCTTCCCTCCTCCCTCCTCCCTCCTCCCTCCTCTTCCTCCTCTTCCTCCTCCTCCTCCTCCTCCTCCTCTCTCCTCCTTCTCCTCCTCCTCTCCTCCTCTCCTCCTCCTCCTTCTCCTCCTCTCCTCCTCCTCACCCTCTCCTCCTCCATCCTCCTCTTCCCTCCTCCTCCTGCTCCTCCTCTTCCTCCTCCTCCCCTCTTTCTGCACCTTTCCTCCTCTCCTCCTCCTCTCCTCCTCCGCTCCTCTTCTTCCTCCTCCTCCTTCCCTCTTTCTCCACTTTCTCCTCCTTCTCCTCATTCTCAGCATCACCCTCACCATCATCATCATCATCATCATCATCATCATCATCATCATCATCATCATCATCATCATCATCATCATCATCATCATCATCATCATCATCATCATCATCATCATCATCATCATCATCATCATCATCATCATCATCATCATCATCATCATCATCATCATCTTCATCTTCATCATCATCATCATCATCATCATCATCATCATCATCATCATCATCATCATCGTCAGCATCATCACCAGCAGCACCATCATCATCATCAGCATCATCATCATCAGCATCATCATCATCAGCATCATCATCATAATCATAATCAACGTCATCATCAGCATCACCACCATCATCAGCAGCATCAGCAGCATCAGCAGCATCAGCATCAGCATCATCAGCATCACCAACATCATCAGCATCACCATCATCATCATCATCATCATCATCATCATCATCATCATCATCATCATCATCATCATCATTATCACCATCACCATCAACATCATCATCATCATCAACATCATCACCATCATCATATCGCCATCATCATCATCAGCATCATCATCTGTCTCCTCCTCGCCGGTCCACGATTCAGGCAACTCGATGGGCGGTGGAATTCGTCGAGCGCGTGGCGAAATCCGAACCCAACCCCTGCCTCCCATCGATTCGTTGGAATCGATGGTTGGTGAGGGTAGTGTTCGGATGTCGCCACCTCAGGAGGAGGGCCAGCTTTTCAAGCGGCAGCGCGAGGAGCAGGTCAGGATGCTCCAGGCTGGGCTGAAGAGGAAGGCGGAGCTCGAGGCCAAGGCGAAGGCGGACCACCAGAGGTGGGCCGCGGAACTCGACAGGCTGAACAGCGCTCGCCCTGGCCTGGAGGCGGCCCTGCAGAGGGCAAAATCGGGCGCCGAGGCCGAGAAGCCCCGTGGCGGGGCTGCGGCGGGCGGCTGTGCCGCCGAGCTCCGGGAGCTCGCGGTCCTGAGGGAGACGGTGCGGACGCAGCAGGAGGAGATGCGGCTCCTTCGCCGCGACATTGACGCCTTGAGGAAGGCCCTCGGGAAAGAGGGTGGGGCCAGCACTGCCGCCGCAGACACCGAGGCGGCGCCAGTGGTGTCAGAGTACGCTAAGTGGATGGACGGCGCGGGCGACGGGTCGGGCGTCGCCGATCAGGCTCCCCCAGAATCCGCCGGGAAGGACGAGGACGAAGGTGAAGATGGGCGGCCGCCGCCTTACAGGCAGGAGGACGCTGCCGATCCGGAAGACGCTCGTGCGGAGGCCAGCGACCCAGCCGAGGGCTGGCTGTGGTCTCTGAGGGCTGGGATCGGCCGCATCTTCACCAAGCTCTCTGGAGGTTCCGCCGTGGATCAGGCCCAGCAGAAGCTTGACAGCAACAGGCATGAGGCAGCCGAGCTCACCAAGAAGCTGGAGCGGCTCAAGCACGCAGACGCCGACCACTCCGGATTCGCGTCACTCGCTGGCACCTGCCTCGAGAAGAAGGACTCGCAATATACCTACGAGCTCTGCTTCTTCGACTCGGCCAACCAGGGCACTGTGGTGCTGGGCCAGTGGAGCGGCTGGGTAGGACCTCGAGAGGCGCGCTTCGAGGGCGGCGACGAGTGCTGGGGCGGCCCCGCCCGCTCGCTGAGGGTCCTCTTCCGCTGCGGCAGTGGGGAGGAGGTGCACGAGGTCACGGAGCCCTCGCGCTGCTCCTACGAGGTGCACATCTCGCACCCGGGCGCCTGCGACCCAGGGGACGAGGCTGCCCTACTCGCCCCGCCCGTCCGGCGCCCGAGGGACGAGTTCTGAGGCCCGCCGAGGCCTGCGGCGTCCCGCCCCGCGGGGGGAAGGGGCGCGCGGGCGTACAGACCGTGCTCGCTTTTGCAGGAGAAGGAGGAGGAGGAGGAGGAGGAGGAGGAGGAGGAGGATAACCAATGTTGACCCGAGACGCATCAACGATGCTGCAATACTCCTCTCAGCTATGTCTGTCGCCATAGGCCCCTACAACATGTATCTGCATTGCGGGCAGTGGCCCATTAGAAGACAAGCCTCTGAGAATGTTGAACCGCTCCAGAACATCATTCCTGGGATTTGAGCGCCGCGTATCAACTTGGCTGCTGCGTCCTGACAATCTTAAATCGTACCAGAGCACAATTCCTGGGATGCCGACACCGTGATTCAACGAAACTGTCGAGTCCTGACAAGCCTAGGCCCTACCAGAATACCACTCTTTAAATTTCAAACATGCGAATCCTTGAGCCTGCTGCCAACTTTGAAGACGAATGTGCGCGGCGCTAAGGTGATCGCCACATGTTGAAAAGGAACCGCCCTCCATCGTCAAACCTGTTGCAGCATTTTCAGACGAATATGCGCGGCGCAACGGCGAGAGACGCATTTCAAAAACGGCCCGCCCTCCATCCGTGAAGCTGCTACAAACCTCTAAGACGAACGTGCGCGACGCTAGGGCGAGAGCCTCGTTTTGAAATACACGGTCCCTCCATCCGCTAAACGGCTACCAACATTCAAGACGAATGCGAGCGGCGCTGAAGCGAGAACCATATTTTGAAAACGACCCGCCATCCATCCGTGACACTGTTACAAGCTTTCAAAGACAACGGTGCGTGGCGCTGATGCGAGAGCCACATCTTGAAAAAAACCCGCCCTCCATCCGTGAACCTGTTGCAAATTCCAGACGCTTCGCGTAACCCCGCCAGCCCATCCAGAAACGATGCCCAGAGGAGTTGCCTCGATCAGGGAAGTGGGCAGCACGCAGAGGAAGGGTCCCCCAGTGGAGGCCTCTTGGAGCGTCTTGGGTGCCTCGGCGAGCTTATTGGGGCCTCTTGGGGGTCTTTTGGGAACCTCTTGGAGGCCTCTTGGGCGCCTCTTGGAGCCTCGTGGGCGCCTCTTGGGGCCCTCTTGAAGCGCTCTTGGGAGCCTTGGGAGTGCTCTTGGGGCTGTCTTGGAGGACATCGATCAAACAAGAGGGGAGCTTTAATTAGCGTTGCCCCCCCAAGAGGCCAAAATGGGGCCAAAACCTTAGTAACACCTGTGATTTTGGCTTCCTCGCCGAGGCCGTTTTGGACGCCCTGACATCTCGCGACCGGCCCCGTCCAGGTCCAGGGGAGGGGGTAGGGGGAGGGGTGAAGACTCCCTCCCCGCCCGCAAGCCGACTCGCTCACTCCCACCCGCCCTCCCAACGCATACGTAGCACCCGAGCCCGGCCCGAGCCGCAGCATATTCAGCAGTCGTCTTTGGATGGGCAGCTACTGGGGGCGAATCCGCCGCTGCCGCCGCCGCCGTCTTTGCCGCCGCCGCCGCCCGCCGCCGCCGCCGCTGTCCGCCGCCGCCGCCGCCGCTGCTGTTCGCTGCCGCCGCCGCCACCGCGCGCCCGCCGCCGCCGCCGCCCGCCGCCGCCGCCGCCGCCCGCGCTGCCGAATCGCCGCCGCCGCAGGCGCTGCCGCCGCAGGCGCTGCCGCCACCGCCGCCGCCGCCGCCGCCACCGCCGCCGCCGCCGCCGCCCCCGCCGCGCCGCCGCCGCCGCCACCGCCGCCGCCGCCGCCGCAGCCGCCGCAGCCGCTGCAGCCGCCGCAGCCGCCGCAGACGCCGCAGCCGCCGCCGCCGCCGCCAAGTGTACCCTGTAATGTTTTTTGACGGTGATGGTGGGGGGAGGCCGCATCGGTTTCGCTGCGCATGCTCCGAATTTGGAGGCAGAGTGTGTTTTGCATTTTTTTGTTAGCAGATATGGTGGGGGGGCCCTCATTGGCTCGGGTTGGCTCTCAGTCGCCTGGGGGAGGGGGTGTATATTAATAGGGAACAGTGATAAACGCCTCCCCGAAGGGGAAGCGGGGCAGATGGAACACAAACCACCCTGGACCACCTAGGCCTTAAAGGGCTGGTGCGATTTTGAGTTTCAGGGTCATAGATGGTGAGGAAACCTCAGGCGAAACGCCCGTCCCGCCCTACCGACACGTCTGGGGGTGCGACAGGGATGTTATCTATAAGAAGCAGGAATGGAGGAGAGAAAGAGGGACAATGTTTGTCGCCCTGACAGAGTGGGCCCCTGGGGCCAGAGGGTCATCAAGGATCTTGCTGCTGGGAGGCATCCTGCTTGATTCGAGGTCTTGCCTGAGCCAGACGCATACGTTTTTGTTGGCCTCGGCGTGCCATTCTGAAGGATTTCACGCTGGAGTTCTGGACGTGGACGAGGCGGAAAGGAGGAGGAGGAGGAGGAGGAGGAGGAGGAGGAGGAGGACGGGGAGAGGGAGTGCGTCGCGGCAGGCACCGCGTGGGACCCCCGTGCGGGGTGGGAGTGGGCCCGCCGGGGCTGGAGCAGTCGAGGGGAGTGGCCGCAGCCAAGGGCGGGCTGCACAGACCCGCCAGGCTGGCCAGCCTGACGGGCGGCGGGGGGCAGTCGGGTGCAACGACGAGGGGGGGGGGGGCAAGGCACAGGGGGGGGGCGCATCCAACCCCCCATCGCCCACTCATCGCCGATGGAGGCCCGATGGCCCCCAACTTGCCCAGGAAGGTGCGGACTCACTATCGGGGGTCTATCGCCGATCTATCGGCGATGCATCGCCGGGTCCAGGTCGATGTCCCCCCCTATGCCAGTCCCCACCCTCCTTATCGTTGCCCCTCAGGCAGGGGCAGGAGCAGAGTAAGGAGGCAGGAGAAGGATGAGGAGAAAGGCCGTCTATCATCATCTACCAGTGGTCGGCGTCACCCTAGCAGACTGATACTATGTGTGCGTCGCCCCACCAGGGGCGACGCGCGGACCGAGGACTGTTATAGTATATGCGTCGTGGCGGGCGTTTTCTGGCCACACCGCTCAGGAAGCGATGCACTGCAAGATGAGAACAATCTATGCTCGGGTCGGACGCGCGCCTCCAGGGAGGACATGTAGTACCAGCATGTCCCTGTGCGTCCCAAGTGGGCCTCCACTCTGAATCGTCCCTCCTTTCCTGGCTCCTAAACCTCCTCGGAGGCTTGTGACAGCAGCGGCGCACTGCAACACCTCCTTGTCCTCCGCCCCTTCCTTCCCCCCTTCCTTCTCCTCCTACTCCTCCTCCTCCTCATCCTCATCCTCCTCCTCCTCCTCCTCCTCCTCCTCCTCCTCATCATCATCATCATCATCATCATCATCATCATCATCATCATCATCATCATCATCATCATCATCATCATCATCATCCTTCCCCTCTCCTCCTCCTCTCCTCCTCCCCCTCCTCCTTCTCTCCCCCCTCCTCCTCCTCCTCCTCCTCCTCCTCCTCCTCCTCCTCCTCCTCCTCCTCTCTCCTCCTTCTCTCCCTCTCCTCCTCCTCCCTCCTCCTCCTCCTCCTCCTCTCATGCTCCTGCTCTGCTCCTCCTCCTCCTCCCCCCTCCTCCCCCTCCCCCTCCTCCCCCTCTCCTCCCCCTCCCTCCTCCTCCTCTCCCTCCTCCTCCTCCTCATCTCCTCTCCTCCTCCTCCTCCTCCTCCTCCTCCTCCTCCTCCCCTCTCCCTTTCCTCCTCCTCCTCCTCCTCTCTCCTCCTCCTCCTTCCTCCTCCTCCTCCTACCTCCTCCTCACCTCCTCCGTCCCTCCTCCGCCTTGGCAGGCCTGCGCGCCTCTCGACCCCCCAATGCTCTTGCAGCGGGCCCCCGGGTGTCGCGGAGATCTGCTCCCGGGGGCCCGTCGCGACCTCTCGGCGATGCATCGCCGACACCATCGGGGGAGGGGGAGGAGGAGGGGGAGGAGGAGGAGGAGGAGGAGGAAGAGAGGATGAGGAGGAGGAGGAGGAGGGAGGAGGAGGAGGAGGAGGAGGAGGAGGAGGAGGGGAGGAGGAGGAGGAGGGAGGAGGAGGAGGAGGAGGAGGAGGAGGAGGAGGAGGAGGAGGAGGAGGAGGAGGAGGAGGAGGGGGAGGAGGAGGGGGAGGAGGAGGAGGAGGAGGAGAAAGAAAAGGAACGCCCGCGGCTCGCCCGGTGGGGAAAGTGAGAGGGGGCGGCCTCCTCGGAAGGCTCCGAAGTCCCGCGGCCTCACATAACAACACCCAAGTACAACGCCTAGAACATGGCGCAAAAGCGCCCACCGCGCCGCCAATTTCTTCAACGCTCATCAAAGGGAGCAAGAAGCGGTTTGCAAATGTGGTCGTTTTTTGCGAAACGACTCGCACTCCCCCGCGTCGACCGCCCCGAACTTTGAAATTGGGGCAGGGGGGGTGGACCCGCTTCGACACGCATTCGGGATGGGCGTCTTTTTCGGAAACCACGGCAGCCCCCCTCCCCCCATCGCTGCTTCTCGCAGTGGGAGGAGGGGGACGACAACAGCGACGATGACCGACGACGCCGACGACGCCGACGACGACGACGACAGCAGCGGCGAGGCGCCAGCACAGCGGAGCGCTGCCGCGTCAGATCGCCGGCGACGACGACGGCCGACGCCGACGGACAAAGACGACGCCGACGATGACGACGACGGCAGCGACGAAAATGATGGCGACGACGACGACGTCGACGGCGCCGACGACGCCGCCGCAATCAACGACGACGCCGCCGACGACGACGACGGCGGCGACGACGACGACGTCGACGACGGCGTCGACGGCGGCGGCGGCGTCGGCGACGGGGAGGCAGGCCGGCCGCCCTTCGGGCCACAGGCCCGAAGAGCTGCGGGCACGGCGCAGGCGGCCCGGTGCGCGCCGTGCCGATGCTGGGCTTCTCTGCCGCGGAGCCCGCGTGGCCGAAGGCGCCGCGTGGGCCTCCTCTCCAGGCGTCGGGGGCGGCCGGGAGAGCGGGGGGCACTGATCCAGGTCTCCCAGACTGGGTCGGAGCAGATGGGGTCGGAGGATCGCGCCGCCTCGCCGATGCATCGCCGATGCGGCTCGATGCGGAGCCCAATTTGCCTCACGCTGATGCACCGC